GGTCTCAATATCTCTTGCTCATACAATCCCTCTTCTCTGTTGCCTATTGGACTCCCAAAGCTCCATCTGGTGTTTGGCTGTGGATCTTTGCATCTGCTTCCACCAGTCACTGGATGAGAGTTCTATCATGACAGCCAGGGTGTTTGGTCATCCGATCACCAGAACAGGTCAGCTCAGACACTCTCTCGACCATTGCCAGTAGTCTACAGTGGAGGTGTCTTTGTGGATTTCTGGGGACCTCTCTATCACTCTGCTTCTTCCTCTTCCCCTGGGTTCTTCATTCATCATAGTATCTCCCTCTCTGTTCTCCCACTCTGCTCCTGATCCAGCTGGGACCTCCCGCTCCCCTAAGCTCTCTTTCCCCCCGACACTTGCCCTCCATTACCCTCTCCCACCCCCAGTTTGCTCATGTAGATCTCATCCATTTCTCTGTCTTTGGGTGATCCCTGTGTCTTTCTTATGGTCCTCTTTATTAGGTAGCCTCTGTAGCAGGAATCTTAAAAGTTCTTATTAATAAAATCAAGCCTGAGGCCAGTTATTGGGGTGAATACTGGAAGATCAGAGAGACAGAACAAGCCACAGCTAACTTCACCTGGCCAGCTTCTCCGCTGGTCTTGTTTCCTCAGACTGGAAGCCTCTTCCCAATGGCTCCCAGCTGAACTGCTGCTTGAAAGCCTGAAGCTTAACCAGCTAAAAGCTTAACCAGCCAAATGCTTCTAGTTTCTGGTCTTCACGCCTTATATATCTTTCCTTTCTACCATCACTCCCTGGGATTAAAGGCTCACTTCTTGGGATTAAAGGCGTGTGTCATTATGCATGGCTGTTTCCAGTGTGGCCTTGAACTCACAGAGATCCAGAGGGATTTCTACCTCTTGAATGCTAGGATTAAAGATGTGAGTTCCACCATTTTCTAGCCTCTGTATCTAGTGGCTGTTCTGTTTTTGACCCCAGATAAGTTTATTAGGGTGCACAATATTTTGGGGAACATAATACCACCACAAGCCTCCCTGGAGTTGTGACAGATAAGGATCTATTTGCAGTCTTCTACATGTTGACATCCAGTTATGCCAGCACCATTTGTTGAAGATGCTTTCTTTTTTCCATTGTATAATTTTGGCTTCTTTGTCAAAAATCATATGTTCATAAGTGTGCAGATTAATGTCAGGATCTTCAGTTCTGTTCCATTTGTCCACATGTCGGTTTTTATGCCAGTACCAAGCTTTTTTTTTGTTACTGTAGCTCTATAGTAAGTAGAGCTTGAAGTCAGGGATTGTGATGCCTCCAGAGGTTGTTTTATTATACAGGATTTTTTTTTGGCTATCCTGGGTTTTTTGTTTTTCCATATGAAATTGAGTATTGTTCTTTCCAGGTCTGTGAGGAATTGTGTTGGGAATTTGATGGGAATTGCATTGAATCTGTAGATTGCTTTTGGTAAGATTGCCATTTTTACTATGTTAATCCTACCTATCCATGAGCATGGGAGATCTTTCCATTTTCTGACATCTTCCTCAATTTCTTTCTTCAGGGTCTTAAAGTTCTTGTCATACAGGTCCTTAACTTGTTTACTTAGAGTTACCCCACATTCTAATAAGTGTATGTAAATCAGATTGCTCACAATAAACTTGTCACAGCTTCGGTTATGCTCTGGCCACTCCATTCTGGCCTGGCTAAAATTCAGTACTCAATGACCATAATCAGGAAACTCTGGCTTGTTAAGTAAGTGCTGGTGCTTACAAGATTTGTATCAACTGTACTCCTATCATTATTGAAGAATCATTTGCCCAAATCCTAGCAGAAAAAGGTCATTTCACATTCACAAGATACTGCTCATACCTTTATTTCTTTTCTTCAGTATACCTGGGAGATATTGAGAAGTTAATCTAGAGACTCTTGGTGTCCAAAGTGTGCCCATCCTGCAGGTTCACTGTGGTCCTCTTAGGTCACTGGTTGTCATGTGGGCTGACATTCACCCTGGCATTAGGAAAGAGACTGTGGATCCCTTGGTTTTCACCTTCATACTGTGCTGTTTGATGAATTATGTTTGTCTTGATAACAGTAATCCATATTCTATAGTCTGTTTGTTTTCCAAAATTTCTTTACCCATAGCTGAGGTCTCTAAAATAGTAGCCATAGAAGGCTCTGGCCTGGATCAGTAGATTCCCTTTTCCTTTTACAAATACCTGAAATCTATAATCCAACTGAACCAACACCAAACATCACTTCTCCCAATGATGCTTCTCTAACTCTTAGGTGAAACCTTCCAGCTTTCCTACTTTTCACAGCAAAAAAAGGCACTCCTATACATTAGGTCAATAATTTTAAACACTCAAAGCAGTAAAGGAACTGTCTGTGAGTTCTAAAAGGTGAAGAGTAATCTAGAGCCTCCACTCTAGGGCTCTGCTCTCATGTCCCTCCATCTCTCCAGTCCTGTCCCCTCCCTAGGACATGACTCTCTATAATGATTTGGGATGAGTCTCAGTATGAATAACCTTGAAATTGTTTCTCTCTGAGACAAGATTGTCAGGCCCTAGTTTTTTCAATAGAGGAATTCATTCTACTATGAGATAAACTTTATTCATGGGGATTGAGAGGACCTTTGAACTGGGTCATTTCTGTTATTGTAGCATTCCCAGGAGAGTGACAGATTCTAGGAACTAACTGAAATTCTGCATGTCATATCTTGTAATCTTCTAAGCAAGGGTTCTAACTGACACAGGAGATGGTCTCCTGGGCCTTGTATGTGGTTAAATGAGAGGAATAAACTGTGAGTAGAGTCAGGAAACACTCTTGATGGCCTCTCTGCACCTGCTCCTCAGGTTTTGCACAAATAATTATTTGGTTTTCCTTTCTGCTGTCCCATGGTAATAAAATATTTAGCAGTTTTATTGATCATATGAATGTGATGTCATTTGAAAATCATAATATCCAATATTGGACTATGTCCCTCTGTGTTTACTTTGACAGGACATGATCTCCAACTGATTAATCTCATTCTCATGTAGGGATTGCTCTGAAATGTTTGTAGACTGTTTTATGCCCTCTCAACAATCCCGTACAGGTCAGAAAGGTTGTCCTAGGAATTTTCTGTTACTGTGATCCATCAGGGCAGCAAAAAGATGGAGTTCTGTGGGGGATGGAAGCTTTGGCTGTCCTTGAGAAATCCAGCCTGTCCCCATAGAAGTCAGCCCTATGAACCTTGCATGGGTTCAGTCAGTTCACATCTAACAACAACCCAACATTCATACCAAGTTCAATCTTTCTGTTGATGGTTCTCCAGAATTCACAGATAAGGGAGCCCCTCTTTCCTTTCTATTCTGGCTCTGTGGTTTATAGTTGAAAAAGAGAATTCACAATGGTGTTGACATTTTATGCTGCAAAGGGGACAGCAGGAGGACACAAGGCCTTGGAAGACGAGGCATTTCTTTTCACCTTTACCTGTTGTAGGAGACACTTCCTGAGTCTCATGTGATCTGCTGGGAAAATCTCAGAGGATACTGAAGGATGATGAACTGTGAGAATAAATTCCAGGAGGAAAATAAACATACTGATAGGAAGACAGGCATCCCAACTCTCAACCTGAGGATGCTCACGTATGTTCTCAGAGGAGCCAGTCAGATGGGGAACAAATTGGATTTTCTAGTCACAGGGTCTTGTTTATACAACTTGTTCACTTGATCTGAGTTAAAAAATGTTTAAACCAGAGAATCCCACTTTGTCATTGTTCTTGTTCTTGTTGTTTTAATAAAAATAGTCAGATTGTAGCCAAGCTATCAATGACAGTATTATTTCTGTTCCTGATATTCAGCATTTGTACAGCTAAGGTGTATGTGCACTCTCCTAATTAAAAGAAAACAAAAACGAAAGAGGATTCTTAGACAGAAATGATTGGATTCAGACATGTCAAAGTTAAAATAGAGCAAAGAATCAAGAGAAGTCTTAAGTGGTCCTTGCTGCCTCTAAAAACAGAAAAATTGCGTGTGGAGCAGGGAGGGGTATTGGGTACCATGCATTTATGTCCAGTCAATGTCAATCAATGTCAATCTAGAACTTGTGTCAAAGGCAATCCAATTGCAGTAAACAGGAGAATGAGTACACAGGGCTCCTGATGACATGAACAGGCCTCTTACATTTCCAGTTTGAAATCCTACTGCTCCAGCCCCAAAATTATCTGAGCAGGAGCCCAAAGTAGCGAACTCCACACCCTGAGTACTCCAGTGTGACATTCAGCTCCATCCATAACACTAAAATAATAAGAAATTTGATTACTACTACCCAAAGCAATTCAATTAGAATTACCTATAAATAAGTGTAGAAAATTAGGTTTATTAAGAAAGGTAAAGTGGCCGGGCGGTGGTGGTGCACTCCTTTAATCCCAGCACTCGGGAGGCAGAGCCACGGGGAGCTCTGTGAGTTCGAGGCCAGCCTGGGCTACCAAGTGAGTTCCAGGAGAGGCGCAAAGCTACACAGAGAAACCCTGTCTTGAAAAACCAAAAAAAAAAAAAAGAAAGGTAAAGTGACTCCCCACAAATCTACAGGGACAACTTCCAACAAAGTATTTGGTGTGGTGTTGGGTACATCAAACTGAGTTTTAGAAGGGGTTTTTGTTTGCCCTGATATTGTTTATTTTATTGTACTGTCCAAATTCATATAATAGTTTATTCCCGGCTACACCAGCAAAAGTTCCAGTCTCTTAGATTTCAAAGATATTTATTTTATAATGTATTGACATGACTTTTCTTTATTTTTGTTTCATTAAAGAAGCATGTCAATGGAGGTGATCACTGATAAAGATCCAGTCAAGGTATGGTGTATTGCAGGGGACATCTTGAATCGACATCACTTAATTCTCAGAAAAGTTGACAAAGGCACTATAGGACTGTGAGGAAAAGGCAGGCAAAGGGACACTGAGATTGATTGTTTCTGAGTAAATCTGCAGCCTAATTTTCTCTGTCATCTCAGTCCCAGGGCAGTTTCCTGCTCCCCCAGGGTTTCTGACACACTCAGGATGTGGGTTGTAACACTGTGTCTTGTCTTGCACAGTAATAGACCGCAGAGTCCTCAGAGGTCAGGCTGCTGAGCTCCATGTAGGCTGTGCTGGAGGATTTATCTACAGTCAGTTTGGCCTTGCCCTGGAACTTCTGATTGTAGCTAGTACCACCACTTCCACCACCAATCCATCCAATCCACTCCAGGCCCTGTCCAGGCCTCTGCTTCACCCAGTGCATATAGTAGCTGGTGAAGGTGTAGCCTGAAGCCTTGCAGGAGAGCTTCACTGAGGCTTCAGGCCTCCGCAACTCAGCCCCAGACTGCTGCAGCTGGACCTGGGAGTGGACACCTGTGGAAAGAAAGGCAGAGTGGATGTCTCTGTCATAGGAGTGTATGGCCCCTCCTCAAGTCTTGAATTTGGGAGCCCCTTACATGTAGCTGCTGCCACCAGAAAGAGGATGATCCACCTCTGATCCATAGTGAGGACCTTGTGTGCTCAGTGACTGTGGAGTTGACGCTGATTATATGCTGCTGTTTGATGTGGACATCCCCGTTTTACCAGTATAGACTCACATGATTTGAATATTCATGAGGCAGGGTGCTTCTTAGATAAGGACCTAGTCCATTTAGAGAAGAAAGAGGTAGAGGAATCCTAGTTCAGACAGCAGGATGCTGAGGTGTCAATTCTCATCCTGTCTGAGGAAGTATCCCTCCCTGAGAACTATGTAGATTCTGTGGATATAACATTAAGGCCTATTCACTCAATTTAAAAATCGAATCCCAACCTGAGATATTTGGTCCCCTTGATGACAAAATTGGTTCACAGGTCGTGGTAATAATTATGCTGGAAGTTTCAAAAACTCCTAAATTAGGAGTACTTGCAATTTCTTTCATATGCAAGCAATTGATATTTGCTTTTCCAGCAGGTTAGCTCTGTGTGTGTGTGTGTGTGTGTGTGTGTGTGTGTGTGTGTGTGTGTGTGTGTGTTTTATCCTTTTCTTTTTTGTGTATTTGTTTGCTGTCTCTATAATTTTCTGTAGTTGAGTGGTAAGGATATAGGAAGGATCAGGAAGGAATTGGGCAGTAAAACCATGATCTGAAAACATTATCTGAAAAAAAATTAAATATCCAAATTAAATAAATCTTAATAAAACAAATAAGAAAATAAAAATGTGTGCAATGTTTAACAAAGATTTTTTTTACTGTGTTTGAAAATTGGAGGCTTACAAAGGAACTGCAAAAGGTGCTGTTGTGGTAATAGACTTTTATTTTTTATCATTTATGAATAGTTTTTTTTCATTTTTCTTTATTAAGAAATTTTCTAATCACTGAACATACACCCACAGATCCACCCTCTTCCCACCCCCCAACCTTCTCTCCCAAGCCACCCCTCATCCCCACATCCCCTAAATCAAGGTCTCCAGAGTCAGCAGAGCCCAGCACACTGAGCCTAGGCAGGTCCAAGCCCCTTTCCACTGCATCAAGGCTGTGCAAGGCGTCACAGCACAGGCACCGGATTCCAAGAAGCCTGCTCATGCACCAGGGACAGATCCTGATCCCCTTGCCTGGGTGCCCCCCAAACAGTTCGAGCCAAACAACCATCTTCCGTATCCAGAGGGCCTAGTCCAGTCCCATGGGGGCTCCACAGCCACCAGTCCACAGTTCATGGGCTTCCACTAGTGTGGCCAGTCATCTCTGCACATCCTCCCATCATGATCTCGACGTCCCTCACCTGCAGAATCCCTCCTCTCTCTCATCAATTGGATTCCCGGAGCTCAGCCTGGTGCCTGGCCGTGGATCTCTGCATCTGCCTCCATCAGTCACTGGACAAAGGCCCTATGATGACACCTAGGTTATTCGCTAGACCAGAGTAGACCAGTCCAGGGAAGGTATGGCCAGACTGCAACCCACACCTCCAGAGAGGCTAGCTAATAGGGAAAGACGCTAGGAGGGACACATGGTAATAAACTTTTAAAACGAGTCCACAGAGGCTGATGAGTCCCCTAAGCTCCTCATCTCATTTCTCTCCTGCTGATTTTTGGCTCCCATGTGCCCCCTGCTGATCCTGAGATCCCCTACAAGTTAGTGTGTCATGACTTACCCTCAAGTTTCACTGTCTCTTGTGAGCAGTAACACATCCGTGCTACTTCAGTTCTCGCAGAGCTCAGCTGAAGCGGAAAATGGTTCTTGTTTTTCTGGAGATACTGAACATGTGTGTCAGAGATTGATTTGAGGTTATGCCTCTATTGTTACTAATACTCCTCTCAATACCAGGGTCTTCCCTGGTGGCGCTTGGATCCGGCTCTTTCACTACCCACTGTTATTACAGAGAAGCTACAAAGAATTAGGGTATGCTAAATCACTGTATCTAGGAAAAGTAAGCATCTTGTTTTTGCTAGATCAATTGCATTTTGAAGGGGATCATGGAGCTGGCCTGGTCTAGCTACCTTGAGAAGCACCCGTGATAGCTTTTCAGGTTTGAGTTCGTGGCTCCTGAGGCTCTGTGTGCTTTTCAGTTCCTGAGGAACTGAGGCACTCCCTCAGGCAGTGGAGCTTTCAGTATACCTTTGTTTCTCTGTGTTCCCTAGAAGTCTACAAGCATATAAAAGCATGACAGGATAATTGGTCTTTTAAACCCTGTATAACTTGCAAATGTCACTGTATCCTGGCAACTACCACTGTATTGATCTGGGCAACTGACATTTTATTCTTTTTGATAAGAGTATAAAAGTCTGATTGCTCACAATAAACTTGTCTCAGCATCAATCTTGCTGTGGCTCCTCCATCCTGGCCTGGTTAAGTTTCTGTTCTCACCTACCATAATAAAGTAACCCTGATTCAGTAAGTAAACACTGGTGCTTACAAGGTTGTATCAACTAGATTCATAACTTTGTTAAAGATTTGTTTCCCAAATCAGAACAAGCTCATTTCACATTCATTCAACATTGTTTATATATTTGTCTTTTTTTTTTCAGTATACCTGGGAGACACTGAGAAATAATCCAGAGACTCCTGGTGTCCAGAGTATGCCCAACCTACAGGTTCACTGTGGTCATTATAGGTCACTCACAGCTATGTGGGCTGACCCTCACCCTGTTGTTAGGTACAGGCAGTGGATCCCTTGGTTTTCACCTTAACACTGTGCTGATCAATGAGTTGTGTTTGTCTTGATCTCACTAATCTAGTACTCTATCACCATTTAGTTCTCCAAAATTTCTTCACACATAGCTGAGTTCACTATAATAATATCTAGAAAAGGCTCAGACCTGAACCAGTAGATTCTCTTTTCCTTTTACAGATGCCTGAAATCGGTGATCATTAACACTGAAACAACACCAACCATCACTTCTCCCACTGATGCTTCTTTAACTCATGGGTAAAATAATCAAGCTTTTCTACCTTCAGCAGCAACAGAGAGTTCCATTATTCTATTGTAAGTATGGAGTCAGTGTTAACAAGAAAATACCACCAAATCAGAAAACTGTGATGATGGAACTGTTGCCAGTGGGAGGGGCAATATAACAGAGACTGTAGATGACATAAGCTGGCATGTGCACAATGATCACTCAGACTTTTCCCCAAACTGAGAGTATAAGAAACACTGCAAAAGAACCTTACATAGGACATTGGGTTGCAAATTAATCTTTACAGGATGCAAATCTCAAAAGCGTATTGTGTGAAAAATGATAATCGTTTGTACACTATTATACACATTCAAATATTGGAAGCCTGAAACTGTAGACAGCTTGTTTTCCCATCTATCTGTGGAAAATAATATTAATTCATGAAGATCTGGCTCCTCCTCCACATGTAAGACTATAACGAGAATGATTTTCAGATGATTTACATTTCCCTGAGATTTCCAACTGAACTAATAATCATCACCAACTCTTAGAATTACAGATATTGGTTGAAAAACATACTAAAGATTATTCTTATGTTTATTACATTGGAAATAATGGTATGTTTATTAGAAAGCAAACAAATAGTAACTGTCATAGAATATGGCATAGCAAAGGATTTGCTTAAACAGGAAGGGGAAACCACATGTTCTAACATTTAAAAAGTCATAACTCTTATAGTTGGAGCCTAGAAGACATGCTGTGTGTGTTTCAGTGAGTGGAGCCAGAGAAGTGACCCAAGCCCTCTGTAGAAGTCCATAAGGTCAAGAGTGTATCCTAGACATTAGGCAGTTGAATCAAGCCTGTAAGCAATAAATCTCTATGGCCTCTTCATCTTCTCCTACCTCCAGGTGCCTAACATGCTTGTGCTCCTGTTCTGACTTCCTTTAATAATGAACTGTGATGTTGAAGTATAAGATGAATGAATCCTCTCCTTTCCAAATTGGTTTTTGGTCATGGCATTTCATCACAGCGCTAATAATCCTAACTAAGATACCCTTCTTTTCATTGAAGTTGTTAGAGCTACTGAACTTGTTTCATTGAACATGTTAGTCAGAGTCCACCAACACGCAGAAATGCCTGTTATATTTCTGACAAGGCTATTGTGTGGTGATATGGTGTCCCCCAATATATTGTGCACCTTAATAAATTTATCTAGGGTCAGAGAACAGAACAGCTGCTAGATAGACACAGAGGCCAGAAAACGGTGGCACACACCTTTAATCCTAGCATTCTGGAGGAAGAGATCCATCCAGATCTCTGTGAGTTCAAAGCCACACTGGAAACAGCCAGGCATAGTAACACACGCGTTTAATCCCAGGAAGTGATGGCAGGAAGCAGAAAGGTATATAAGGCATGAAAACCAGGAACTAGGTCTGTTAAGCTTTTAGACTTTTAGCAGCAGTTCAGCTGAGATTCATTCTGTATGAGGACTCAGAGGCTTCTAGTTTGAGGAAACAGGATCACCTGAGGAATTGGCAAGGTGAGGTTAGCTGTGGCCTGTTTTGTTTCTCTGATCTTTCAGAGTTCACCCCAATACCTGGCTCCAGGTTTGTTTTTATTAATAAGACCTTTTAAATTTCATGTTACACTGTTGTTGTAAGATTTCTAATTTCTGATGAAAGCACTGATGATCCCTATTCTCCAAATACATATTTTTCTTTAATTATAAACAGGAAAAATAAAGCATTTCAAAGATAATCTATACAGTGAAAATACAGACCAAAAAGAGATTTTTAGTGTCCATAATGAGTTTAGTTCAAGATGACATCATCAAAGAAAACCAGTATCAAACAACATAAGCAAATTTGTGAGGAAGCACATGGGGTGGTCCCCAGCCTCTTATGATCTGGTATATCTATTAGTTCTGAGCAGTGTCAGGATTTCTTAATTAGCTTTCTTGGTCCTGAGTGCCTCTGCAGGGAGGCAATTGTTTAGTCCAGGTTCTGAGGGACTCCCAGAAAATACATGTTGTGCCACCCTATTTGTGATACTATGAGAGCTTCAGGGATATGTTTCAGACATTATGTCTTATCTTACAGATAGTAAAACATAAGGTGGGAAAAACTGTCAAATGGATCACTAACAAATGGAATCAAATGTGTCCTAATCTTAAGACTGTAAACATGCTGCCTATTCTGATCGGCTGACCCTTGGTTAAACTCTTTTGTAAAATGTGAAGTTCTGCTTTGGTGTTTTTGTGAATGTTTGTCCTGGTTGACTTTTGGTTGAATCCAGGATTTCTGTATCCCTATAAATTGTCTGTGTGTCCCAATATTGCCTTACCTCTTCTATTCCAGTAGGGGGTGAGTAGGCCTGGCACCATGATAAAGAGTTTTACTTTACATTATTAACGCCTCTAAGAGTTCTTTGATCTAAAGTTGGAGAATACAACATCTGCAGGTCCCACCGAGATTGTGAGTGGCCTTGTAGAACAGGAACAATCAGAGGACCTTCTCTGGAGGACATCACTCAGCCCTGGTCTTCCTGCCCACTCCAGATGCTCAGTCTCACCAGAGTGTTGCAAGGTAAGAGAGACTCTGTCTGTTTTGTCTGGGTACCCATTCTGTTCTGGGCCCACCAAACACTGGAGGAGAAAGCTGCATTCAGCAATATTTCCTCTAGTTGGCCTTTGAAAAAGACATCCCTGAGGCCATCTGGTTACTGAGTTCAGGAGCTGTGGAAGAATTGGGAATCCTAACTCAGTAATGATTTGTTTTGTCTGTTTGTGTCTGTTTTGTTCTCAATGTGGCCATTGTTCTAACTCGTGTCACGAACCAATCTTCTTCTAAGTCTTGATCCCTACTCAACTCTATGATGGACAACATCTCTGATGTCAGGAAATGAGCTGGAGGGTTTGGCTTCCAATTAAAGCCCTCAAAGCTTTGCATCCTGTGTGAGCTCACATGAATTTCCTTCTCAGGAATCAACTGGCCCTCAGAGGGATCTTTCAACTTTAACTCTGCTTATTCTTTCCACAGAGTCTGTAACAGTGATCATCTGGATCAGCTTCCTTATGTTGTTACATGAGTAGACCTCCTTTATACTTCTTCTTGGGTTAAGAAATGTCACCCCTATAACTTTAAGAAACCATCTTCTCCAAACCCAGATTCTTCCCTTCAATCTTCTCATTTCAGGAGCCAAGCATCTCTATCTCATTATTCAGACCCCTGAAGATGAAGAAGAACCTTGCCCATATTCTGGCACTCTGATTCTCTCTCTCACTTCAGACTCACTGCTCAGGCCTCCAGCTAAGACGTTGTGCCCAGCATGTCCACCTCCTAACACTTCACTCCATACCCAAGCTGGCACTCACTGTAGGGAAGAATCCTCCCCCAATACTTTGTTGAACTACCCCTGATCCTCCTGCTCTCCTGCCCCTCTATGAAGTCACTCCCTCCTTACAGAATAAAGCAAAGGAGTAGTAGGAAGCAGGAAGAGAACAAGGGTACTGGGGACAGTCTCTTTTTATGCATCTTTTTCAACCACTGACCTTTATAATTGGAAAATTCAGAATCCCCCGTTCTCTGAGGATCCACAGAATCTGATAAATACCTTTAGTACTATCTTTGTAACCCACAACCACACATGGGAGGACTGCCATCAACTCTTACAGGTTATTTTTATTTCTGAGGAATAAACCTATATCCTCTAGGAAGATGCATGTTCCATCCTAGGTCAAGATGTTCCATCCTAGGCCTTCTCAAAGTACTGCCATAATTGAAGCTGTTTTCCATTCTGCTCCACTCCAGTGGGACCACAGCACAGATGATGATCAAGACCACCTGACCAGATATTGCCAGACTCTGCTATAGGGACTGTGAGCACCTTCTAGAAAGCCCACAGAACTTTCTAAAGTAATTTAGACTGTTCAAGGGTCTGAGGGACCTCTAGCTGCTTTTCTGGGGAGGCTATACCAAGCCTACTGCCTCTATTCACCTATTGATCTAGAGGCACCTGAGAATCAAAGGATCCTAATCACTGCCTTCATTTCTCAGTCATCTCCAGATATAACAAGGGATTTACAAAAACTTTAAAAGGCATTTAAAAAAAGGCATTGGAAGGAAAGTTAGAATTAGTAGAGATATCTCAGAATGTGCTTTTAGGAAGGGAAACCCCAGCCCATGCCCAAGGGAGGAAATGGAAAGATAATGATAACAATTATAGGAGGAAATGTCAACAACCCTTACTACTGAAGGAAGGGTATAAATCCATCTCTGGGGCTAAAGAAAGACCAAGATTAGAGAAGAACCAATGTAGCTATTGTAGGGAAAATGAACATTTGAAGAGTTTCTGTCCTCATCAGAATGAAAGAGAAGTGGCCTAGTGGCTGAGGCATGATGAAGCCATGATGACAAAGCCATGAATTTTCCCTGGATCCCTGGGAGCTGATGCTGACTCTTAAAGTTGAAGGGAAAGATACCAATTTTTTTTGGTAGACACCAGGGCTACTATCTTAGTTCTAAAGGAGCATTTTGTGGTGTATAACTGACAATAAGACCTGCATCCAGGGGATAACAGGGAAGATCCAAGGATACACCTCAAACTCAGGCCTGGACATGGACCTAACCAATGGAACTGTAACCCATTCCTTTCTTCTGATACCCTCCTGTCCATATCCTCTTGTGTAAAGAGACTTCTTACATAAGTTAAAAGCCAAAGATCACCTTTCCTGGGGACTCAATAAACCTAACTGTCCAATGCCTGCAATTTTGATAACCTTCTCTCTCTCAGAAGAATATCAAATTTGGAGAATCCCAGAAGTTAAGCCACTAACTTAGTCTCCACATTGCTAGAGCAATAGAAAGTTGAGATCACAACAATTTGTGCTGAGACTCACCCACCAGTGCTGGGAAAAACAACAAGTGATTCAGTTAATCAGCTCTGCTTTATCTTTAAGAGTAAGGCAGTATCCTATAAGCCTCTAGGCCAGACAGAGGATTACCAAACACTTCAGTCTCCTTCAAGATGCAGGGTTGCTTTTTCCATATTTTTCTCCATTAAACATGTCCCTGTTATTGTTCCCAAAGCCTAGTTCTTCAGACCAAGACCTGAAGGAAGTTAACAAATGAGTTGAGTTCCTTCATCCTACAATGCCTAATCCATACTGTCTTCTCAGGGCATTGGGACCAGATCTGAAGGTCTATTGTGTCTTTTATCTAAAAGACTCCTGTGGTAATTTGAATGTGATCGACCTCCATAAGCTCATAAGGAGTGGCACTATTAGGAGGTGTGGCTTTGTTGGAGTATGTATGGCCTTAGAGGAAGTGTGTCACTGTGGGGGTGGGCTTTGAGGTTTCCTATGCTTGAGATACCACCCAGCGTAAGAGCCCTTTCTCCTGTTGTGTGCAAGATGTAGGACTCTCAGCTTCTTCTCCAGCACTATGTCTACCTACATGCTGCCCATGCTCCCCACCGTGATGGTTATGGACTATATCTCTGAAACAGTTAGTGAGGCACTCCAATGAAATATTTTCCTTTATAATAGTTGCCATGGTCATGGTGTCTTTATACAGAAATAGAAATCCTATCTAATATAATGCTTTTTTCTCATTGCCTATGCCAAGGTGAATGATCCTACCTTTGCCTTTGAATGGTCTGACCCAGGTGGGTCCTACAATGGACAATTGACCTGGAAGTGGCTGCCACAAGGATTCCAGAACTCACCCACTTTATTTGATAAAGCCCCAATGCTGTGGGATGTTCTGTATGGCAAATGTGTTGCTGATTAGTCAATAAATAAAACACTGATTGGCCATTGGCTAGGCAGGAAGTGTAGGCGGGACAAGGAGGAGAATAAAGCTGGGAAGTGGAAGGCTGAGTCAGAGAGACACTGCCAGCCTCCATGATGAGAAACAGCATGTGAAGATACAGGTAAGCCATGAGTCATGTGGCAAGGTATAGATTTATGGAAATGGATTAATTTAAGCTGTAAGACAGCAAGAAGCCTGCCACGGCCATACAGTTTGTAACCAATATAAGTCTCTGTGTTTACTTGGTTGGGTCTGAGAGGCTGTGGGACTGGCAGGTGAGAGAGATTTGCCCTGACTGTGGGCCAGGTAGGAAAACTCCAGCTACACCCCAAGAAAGACCTGCTTGGCTTTCAGGAGGAGGATACTGAGGCAATATTATTGCTCTATGTTGATAATCCACTTCTTGCAACAGATACCTTGGAAGAATATACACAAATCTCAAAGGCATTGCTGGAGGAGCTGAACCTAGGGGTATAAAGCCTCTGCCAAGAAGGCTGCAATCTATTTGGACACTGATACCTACCTCAGGTATAAAATACATGATGGTAAGTGCTTGCTTGGGACTAAACAAATCCAAGCCCTCCTAAATATCCTTCCACCTACTACCAGGAGGAAAATCTGGGAGTTCCTGGGCACTGCCGGATATTATAGATGCTGAATCCTGGGGTTTGCAGTCATTGCTAAACTACTCCATGCAGCTGTTGGAGGTGAGGACTCTGAATTCACCTGAGGGGCGAAGAATACTCAGTTGATAGAGCTGGGCAGAGAGAGGAAGTGATAAGGCAGGGTGGAGAGAGGAGCTCGCTCTCTTGAGGCTGAGGATTTTGTAGAGGTAAGAACATGGCTGGCTTGTCCTGTTTCTGCGCTCATTCAGCTTTCATCCCAATATCTGGCTCTGGGTTTTTTTTAATTAATAATATTGTTTAGCAATTTGTGTTATACTCAGCATTTAGACAACTCAATGGAGCCCTGTCTGAGGCTCCCACTCTGACTCTGCCAGATGTCTCCAAGCTCTTCCAGTTGTTCATTCATGAGTTAAAATGGATTGCCAAGGAAGTTCTGACCAAAAATTTAGGGCCCTGGAGGAGACTAGTGACATATTTATCTAAGAGACTGAACACAGTTGCTTCAGCATGGCCTACTTGCTTAAGGCCCATACCTTCCACTGCAATCTCAGTCAAAGCAGCTTCAAAATTGACTCTGGGCCATGACATCCATCTTATCAGGTAATACTTGATGAAGCCTTTGCTTCTCTTATCACCCAACCAATTGCTCCTCCCATCACCTGACCAGTTGGTGTCAAATACAATGATCACCCAGTATCAAGTATTGTTGCTGGGCCCTCCAACAAAAACCCTGAACCTGGCTCCTTTCCTTCCCAATAAGAGTTTGGGATCAGTCAAACACCACTGCCTTGAGACCATGGGTACCTTTACTGGGATGTGGGAGGACATCAATGATTGTCCTCTCCCAAATGCAGATGCTGGATTATTTACAGATGGGAGTAGTTATATTGAAGATGGAGTTAGATGTGCTGGAGTTGTGATGGTAACACCAAATTGGGTAATATGGGCACAAGCTTTGGGACACTTGTCATTGGCCCAAAAATGTGAACTCATAGCTCTACCACAAGCCCTCCAATGGGCAAAAGGAAAAATTATCAAAATTCTACTGACAGCTGCTATGCCTTTGCTGTGGGCTGATGGAGGAATGTCTTTTTGTATGCTGTGAAAATATGTTGCTCTGATTGGTTGATAAATAAAGCTGTTTGGCCAATGGTGAGGCAGAATAGTGTTAGGTGGGAAATTCTAACTAGAGAGCAGGAAGCTGAAAGGCAGAACGAAGAGGGCGCTGCCCGCGACAGACATGAGAAGCAAGATGTAAAGATACCAGTAAGCCACAAGCCACGTGGCAAAGTATAGATTTATAGAAATGGGTTAATTTAAGATGTAAGATCTAGCTAGTGAGAAGCCTGAGCCAATAGGCCATACAGTTTGTAATTAATATAAACCTCTGTGTGTTCATTTGGGTCTGAGCGGCTGTGGGACCACAAGGACACAGGAGCTGGGTGGACACAGGAAAAAATTCAGTTACAGCGGGCCACGTTCTTGGGGTACTATATGGAGAGAGAGGACTTTTAAGATTAAACCGAAAGGATATTAAATTAAAGAGGAGATCCTGGCTCTACTAGAGGTGCTGTGGCTACCCAATGCATTAGCAACTCTTTGTTGCCAAAGACACCAAAGAGATGGTTCCTTTCAAACTAAAGATAATGACGTTGATGATTACATTGCCCATAAGGTATCATAAGAAGGCATAGAGCTACTGAAAGTACTGCATGAACTAAGATTCCATTTCCTCCCTTTGAAACCCATTTATTAGACTAAAGGAGTTATAGTTAACAATAGGACTAAAAGCAAAGAAAGATGATCATGAATGGTTCTAGATGGAGGATGTGAGAACTGTCCTATCCCAGCAAGCAAACTCGGAAGTCATGTGATTCTGGCTTAAGAGTCAAATATATATATATATATATATATATATATATATATATATATATATATATATATATATATATTCATAGTCCATATATATATATGGACTATGAAATCTTCAGCTGTTATTAAAGAAAGCCAGTGGGACCAGGCATGTTTCAGGGGTTTCCCTGAATGGAGGCCTAGAGAAGCTGTTGTGTGAAGCTGTGGAGGTGAAGCCTGGATTGCCTTGGAGACGCCAAGATATTGGAGATGCCAGACCTATGGGATGATACCTTCCAAGGAAGTTGATAACAGGGAATGGAACCAGTCTAAGAGAAGAAAGAAGTATGTTGCTGTTAACAAAGCTGAAAAGAGATGGAGATATGAAGAGCATCTTGACATCAGACATGGAGATGAAGAGCTTGCCATGCTCATTTTTGGTCTTGCTTTGGTCCAGTATTTCCTCACTATGGTCAGTTCCATACCCTTTAGAATGGTAATGTATATCATGTGCCATTATATGTTGGAATTATGTGATCTCCTTTTTTATTATGATTATATAGGGGTTTAGAGTTACATTGCATGAATCTAAGAAGAGATTTTGAAGTTAATATTTTTAAATTTCTTTGAAACTGTTATAGACTACAGGAACTTTAAAAGTTTGACTAAACTAACTAATATAGATGGTATATTTGAATATTTGGTCCTCACTTGGTGGAACGGTCTGAAAAGGATTAGGAGGTGTGGTCTTGTTGGGGAAGGTGTGTCACTGGGGGAAGGCTTTGAGGATTCTAAAGGTATTTCAGAGACCTCTGCTTCTTGCCTGTTGATCAAGCTGTGAGCCCCTGATTCTGTTCCATTCACCAATATCACAGCAATAGAAAAGTAACTAAGACAGATGTCCTTAGTATTTTACACAGTGAGGAGAACATGTCAGAGACTGAAGTTGGAATTTCTGAGTCTCTTAGAGAACAGAACTGACTCTGTCAGTGATAATATGTAACCCAATAGATCCAATGTGATCCACGATGGTAAACTGCGTGTGTGTGTGTGTGTGTGTGTGTGTGTGTGTGTGTGTGTGTGTGTGTGTGTGTGTGTGTGTGTGTGTTTCCTGGTGAGTTTATCTCATTTAATCTAATTTCCCATGAAGTTTTCCTAATGGGATCAGTTTATACAATTTTCAATGAGGAACAAATAAAAGTCATGGAGTAATAATCTGAATTAGCTAAAATCTGAGCTGGGCAGATCTGAACCTGAAGTGCACAGTCTTTAGGGAGAGGAGTGGAGAGAAGGTTCCAGACCTGCTAGAAGTTATTATATAACAATCTTGGCTCCACCTTTCTCCTGGTTTTCCCTTAAACATACATACCATAAACATTCTAATAAAAAAATCTGACCAGGGCCCTCCTAGACTATTAGAAGACTCAGAAATGTTCATGAAATTCCTTATCATGTGATTCCAGTGACCAAATCAGGGTCCTATACGTCCTTGAAAGGTGTCATTTCACATTTTGTTAATGGGAGACTGTGATTCCTATTTTAAAACAATACAAGAAAGACTTAATGTTTTGAGGATGTTAGATTGTTTTAGAACATACATTTAGAAAGAATTTCTATGGGACTGTAAGAAAATAATGCAGCCTAGACACCAGAGAGGATCATGTCTACATAATCTCCTCCGCTGAATCTGTTTTCTGTGTGCTGTGCGCCCCCTGGTGGCCCTGAGAAGCCTCACAGTGAGGTTTATGTCTGGGTTCACATTGAGGTCCCCTCCCTGTGCGTTTTGTACAGTAGTAAGTAGCAGTGTCCTCAGATCTCACACTGTTCATTTGCAGGTGCAGAGTTTGTTTGGCATTGTCTCTGGAGATAGTTAATCGATCCTTCAAGGATGGTGCATAGTCTGTGGTACCACCATTTGGTGAAATTCGTCCAATCCATTCCAGCCCCTTCCCTGGAGCCTGTCGGACCCAGTACATCCAGTAGTTACTGAAAGTGAATCCAGAGGCTGCACATGAGAGCCTCAGGGCCGCCCCAGGCTGCAGCAGGCCACCCCCTGTCTCCACCAGCTGCACCTCACATTGAACACCTTTAAAAACAGAGAATCCTGTTAGTAAATTGCCGCAAGTGCTCACTATCTATCCTGCTCATGCCCCCTCATACACTGTATCTATTCTTCTCCAAGAATTACCTTCTAAAAGAGCAACAATGAAAACCCAAATCACTCCCAAACCCATGGCGAGAGTTCTGTGGTCAGTGCTGGTCACTGAGTGGGAAGACCTGGGAATCCAGGGCTGATCTTTGCTTGAGCTTCAGCGTTGGTGCTGTGCTGGTTTTCTTGAGAAAAGAGAGGCCTTATTTGCATGTCTTCCTGCTATATAACAAGCTCTGTAGTTGGACCTTAGAGATGACATATTCTAATTTGTAAATGTGCTGGGGGAATCTCGCAAAAAAGATAATGGTCAGAAAAATTTGTATTTTAAGTTATTTTTTCTTGGTACACACTAAGTATCAAGGAAATTCAACCCTAATCTCCATATCCTGCATTATAGAGTGCAGCAGAGATTGCTTTGTTACATGCTCTGGAGGTCCTCTCTTTTGCTGTATGGGCTTCAGCCCTAATGGACATATCAATCCCCAGTGCAGCTGCCTCCTAAGGTTGGAAACTCCCTTTCTGTCTTGAGATCATGCCACATGCCTGCATTCCATTTTTCAGCTGGGAAACTGGAAATCTTGTCCATACAAGTGTGTGCCCAAAAGTGTGAAATTATTCTGTTATTATCCAATTCAGTTCTTGTTTCACTGCACAATTATTCCCTCTGTTCAGTAGAAATGGGGAGTGACTGATATTTGAACTTCAGTGTGTACCTCAGCATTTGAATTCTACACATCCTTCACATGTGTGAGCACAGGCCTTTCAGAAGGATGGCCTCACTCCCAACACTCTTTCCCTTGACCTTTCTTACTCAGTCTATTTAATACCATATCCCAGGCAGTTACCTCTCCTGATCTTACCTGGAATGCCTAAGCTGGTTTTCACTTTATAGAGATTATGACGATTGGTATTAAGGGTGGACTTCTGTCTGACTTCTCACTCAACACAATTCATCATGAATGACACCAGGTTGTACTATTTCCAGTCTTTTTTTTTTTTTTAACTCACAAGCTCTTTTATTTTATTTTATTTTACAATACAATTAAGTTCTACATATCAGCCACAGATTCCCTTGTACTCCCCCCTCCCGCCCCCCCTCACCTTCCCCCCAGCCCATCCCCCATTCCTACCTCCTCCAGGGCAAAGCCTCCCCTGAGGACTGAGATCAACCTGGTAGACTCAGTCCAGGCAGGTCCAGTCTCCTCCTCCCAGGCCGAGCCAAGCGACCCTGCATAAGCCCCAGGTTACAAACAGCCAACTCATGCAATGAGCACAGGACCTGGTCCCACTGCCTGGATGCCTCCCAAACAGATCAAGCCAATCAACTGTCTCACCCATTCAGAGTGCCTGATCCAGTTGGTGACCTCTCAGCCATTGGTTCATAGTTCATGTGTTTCCATTCATTTGGCTAGACTCAGAAAGACAAACATGGTATGTACTCACTCATAGGAGGATACTAGATGTGGAACAAGGATGACTGGACTGCTACTCACATCACCAGGGAGGCTACCTGGAAAACAGGACCCCAAGAAAGACACGGGGATTGCCCAATGACGGAGAAATGGATGAGATCTACATGAACAGCCTGGACATGAGTGGGGGTAATGAAGGGCGAGGGTCGAGGGAAAGATAGCTTGGGGGAGCGGGAGATCCCAGCTGGATCAACAACAGAGAGGGAGAACAAGGAATAGGAGACCATGGTAAATGAAGACCACATGGGAATAGGAAGAAGCAAAGTGCTAGAGAGGCCCACAGAAATCCACAAAGATACCCACACAACAGACTGCTGGCAATGGTCGAGAGACAGCCCGAACTGACCTACTCTGGTGATGGGATGGCCAAACACCCTAATTGTCTTGCTAGAAACCCCATCCAACTACTGAGGGATCTGGATGCAGAGATCCACGGCTAGGCCCCAGGTGGATCTCTGGGAGTCCAATTAGTGAGAATGAAGAGGGTTTATATGAGTGAGAATTGTTGAGACCAAGGTTGGATAAAGCACAGGGACAAATAGCCAAATGAATGGAAACACATGAACTATGAACCAATGGCTGAGGGGTCACCAACTGGATCAGGCCCTCCGAATGGGTGAGACAGTTGATTGGCTTGATCTGTTTGGGAGGCATCCAGGCAGTGGGACCAGGTCCTGTGCTCATTGCATGAGTTGGCTGTTTGAAACCTGGGGCCTATGCAGGATCACTTGGCTCGGCCTGGGAGGAGGGGACTGGACCTACCTGGACTGAGTCTACCAGGTTGATCTCAGTCCTCAGGGGAGGCTTTGCCCTGGAGGAGGTGGGAATGGGGGGTGGGCTGGGGGAGAAGGTGAGGGGGGCCGGAGGGGGGGAGAACAAGGGAATCCGTGGCTGATATGTAGAACTGAATTGTATTGCAAAACAAAAATAAAAAATTTAAAAAAATTAAATAAATAAATAGAAAAAAAAGAACAGAGAGATTCAGAATTCAACATGAAAAAAATAAAGAGAGAAACCACCAAATAGTTAGAATGTAACTTTTCCCCTAAAAACCCCAGAGAGATAAAAGTCTCAGCTTCACAATGCTGTGGATTTTGCTTTTGAGCCCTGCCTAGAATCTGGTTCTTCTTGGGTTATATTATATAATGAAAAGGAGCATGCTGATTAAGGAAACTTAGAAAATGTACAAATTGTGAAATAAAGGGAGCAACAGGAAGAGGGATGGAACTGAGTCCTGTGTTCAAGGAGGTAAACTGACTAAGAAATGGAACAAAATGAGTGGTGACCTCAGGGCATGACCCACGCAGCTAAGCTTCCAACTTGTGAAAAGGAATTAAAGAAAAACTTATCACCCTGTTTGGTGGTACATGTCTTTAATCCCTCTACCCAGAAGGCAGAGGCAGAAGGATCTGAGTTTTCGGCCAGGTAGTCTACAGAGTAAAAGATTTAAATGCCTCACCTCGATATGGCTTGGTATCCATGTTTGCTAAAGGATAAATTGAATTTCCCTAAGTAAATCAGGAGATAAGACATTTGCCTTAAAGATTGTAAAACATGGAATTGTAAAGTCTATCACAGTGGGTATGTAACCTTAGAGATAATAAAACATGAGGTTGTAAAACCTGTCACACTGACTATTTAAAAAATGACATCAAATATGTCCTAATCTTAAGATTGTAAACATGCTGCTTGCTCTGATTGGCTGACCGTTGGCTAAACTCTTTTGTAAAATGTGAAATTCTGCTTTTGTGAATTTTGTGAATACTTTGTCTGTCCTGATTGGTTGACCTATGTTTGAAACCAACATCCCTATATCCCTATAAATTGTCTGTGTACTCCAATATTGCCACCACTTTTTTGTTCCAGTGGGAAGTGAGTATACCTGGCACCATGATAGGGTTTTTCTTTACATCATTATTGCCTCTAAAAGTTCTTTGATCTAAGATTAAATAATTCAAATTTCCAGGTCTCACTGAGATTGTGAATTACCTTGTTAAGCAGGAACAATTAGGGGACCTGTGCTGAGGGATGTCCCTAAGCCCAGGTCTTCTTGCCCACTACAGGTGCTCAGTCACACCAAAGTTGCAAGGTATGAGGCACTCTTTCTGTTCTGTCTGGGATACCCAGTCTTTTCTGGAACCATCAAGCACTAGAAGAGAAATCTAGATGAAGCCATATTTCCTCTAGTTGGTCGTTGGCAGAGATGACTCTGAGCACATCTGTGACTGAGTTCAGGAGATGTGGAAGATTTGGGAATCTGAACTCAGCAATTGATTTTTTTGTCTAATTGTGTCTGTTTTGTTCTTAGCATGACCACTGTTCTAAATCATGTCATGAGGCAATCTTCCTCTTAGTCTCTATCGCCTTTCAAATGTATGCTCCCTAACTTCTCTGATTTCAGAAAAGAAGCTGCAAGATTTGACTTCCAAGTAAAATCCCCAAAGCTTTGTTCCCTGTGTGAGCTTAAATGTCCTTTCTTCTCAGGAATTAATTGGCTCTCAAAGGGATCTTTCAAACTCAATTGTGCTTATTCTAGCCACAGAGTCCGTAAAAGTGATCATCTGGATCAACTCCCTCATACTGTTACTTTGGTGGTCCTCCTTGAGAATGCTTTCTAAATTAAGAAATATCACCCCCTAACCCTGAGAAACCATCCACTCTGACCACACATTCTTCCCTTCAGTCTTTACTTCCTATTTTAGATGTCAAGCATGTCTATCCTATTCTCCAGATCCCTGAAGATAAAGCAGAACCTTCCCTATATTCCGGCACTCTGATTCTCTCTCTCTTCAAATTCACCACCCACACCTCCAGAAAGGTCATCATGAACAGGAAGCCTACCTCCTAAAGCCTCAACCTCTCTGATTATGCCACTCCATAAACAAACTGGCACTCACCAAAGGGTGGAATCCTCCTCCAATCTTTTGTCTACCTACTCCTGATCCTCCTGGTCTCCTACCTCTCCATCGTGTCACTCCCTCCCTATATACTGAAGCAAAGAAGCATCAGGGAGTAGGAAATGATCAATGGTACCGTGGGTGACCTTACATTGTTTTGCATACTTTTAAACACTTGACCTTTATGATTGGAAAGTTCAGAATGTCCCATTTTCTGAGGACCCACAGAATCTCATAATACCATTAATACTGTCTTTGTAAACCCCCATCACTTGTGGGAGGACTGCCATTGCTCTTACAGGTTCTCTTTACTTCTGAGAAATGAGCCTGCATCCTCCAGGAAACTGCAAGCACCGTCCTATGTAAAGATGGTTTACCATCTCAAAGTGCTGCCATATTTGAAGATGTTGTCCCTTCTACTCAACCCCAGTGGGACCTCAATACAGATGACAGTCAAGACCATCAGACTAGGTATCACCAGACTCTGCTGTAGGGATTCTGAGCAGGTGCAGAAATCCCAGGGAATTTCCTAAAATAAGTTATACTGTTCAAGGATCTGAAGAATTTCCAGCTGCTTTTCTAGAGATAATATACCCTACTGCCTCTATTCACTTATTGATCCAGAGGCACTTGAGAATTGAAGAACTCTAAACATTGCCTTTGTTTCCCAGTCAGCCTCAGACATAAGCAGGAATTTACAAAAACTAGAGGCA